TCCTCATAGCTGATACTCTGCTACATTTCCAATTCAAGTTCAAGTTATTCATTTCTGAAGAACAACTAATAATCAAGTCTTCTGATTATTTTGTATATTGATTTTAGAGGGAGAGGGAGAGAGAGGAGAGAAAGAGAGAGGGAGGAAAAGAGAGAGAAAGAGAGAGAGAGAGAGAGAGAGAGAGAGAGAGAGAGAGAGAGAGAGAGAGAGAGAGATTCGTTGTTCACCTATTTATGCCCTCATTGGTTGCTTCTTGTATGAATCCTGACTGGGGATCGAACCTGCAACCTTGGTGTATCAGGACAATGCTCTAAACAACTGAGTATCTTGAAACCCGGCAAAGGCTTCAGATTATTAATAGTACTAATTTTTAATAAAAAATAATTAGCTAAAATAATGAGATTTATCAGAAAGTAAGAGAACTGAAAGTCAAGGTTAACTAGATATGTAGCTGTGACTAAGTCACAGCGTTGCTCTAGCCCCCAGTTTGTGTGTGTGTTTTGTTATACAATTAGGAGGATTCAATCCTTTGATTTATTTTTTTAACAAAAACTCTCATTTTCTCCTTTTTATTTGCAGAAGTAACTCACATTTATTGTATTTAGCATGTCTAGAAAATAAGCTGAAACAAGAAACCAAGAATCCCCACAACTCCACCAGGAAGAGATAACACTGCTAACACTGCGGCATATGTCCTTTCTGTTGTCTATCAATTTAGATATCCTCCTTACTTGCTTACATACTCTTTAAATAACAAAAATGGAATCATAATAAACAGCTTTGCAAGCTCAGATTTTTTATTTACTGTAACAAGTATTTTTTATATTATTTTTTTCAATTTCGTATTTATGAGCTGAAGAATATTCTATTTTGTGAATTCATTTAACCAAACCCCCCGTTATTAGGGTGTTTCTAAGTTTTTGCTTCTATAAACTGCATTGCAATGGACATCTTTGCAGAGAAAGTTTTGCATACCTTTGTGGTATATTTCTCCTATTGCTTTCAGCTTTAAACTTTTTCATACGGTTAACAGTCATTCCATGTTAGACCAATAGAGGGCATTTTAGGCCTTCCTTCTCAGGGGAAGGCCAAAAACCATTTCTTCAGCATATAACAACAAAAATAGTGGTTTTATTGTGAAAATGATTCCATTTTGGATCTTCAGTAATAATCAATAAACCCCAAAAGGGGAGTTAAAGTCATTTGTTTTCATGTCTAACAAGACCACACACACACACACACACACACACACACACACACACACACACCTCAATGAATTGCTTCGTTAGGACTTATACCCAAAGTGAATAAAAAGGATCTCTTTTGCCTAATTCAGAATAACTAAGGAAGTGCTTTATTCAAAGGTCTCAAGTGCCTGCCGAGGACTGTGTTGAGTAGTGACAAAGGAAACTCAATGTGACAGCACTGACCTTGCCAGAGAAAAGCCCAGAATCCGTAGCTGCCTGGAAATGCAGACTTGGGATAACACTAAATGGAATGTTGCCTAGACCATTATGTGTCTATCACCTACCAGCCAGGTTTTATAGGCCTTGTGAGAGCTCTAAATAATAGTTTCATGTGCATTTTTCTTGATTTTCACCAAGACCATACATTCCCAAGGGCAGTGACCTGCCTACACTTTTTGGCACACCCACTCTTAATTACACCTAGCAGGTTACTAAGTACAAGGGAGGTACTTAACCAGTTGTCACTCCATGCTTGTGACAATTTTCTATCTGAGTGTAAATACAGATGATGATTGAGAGGTGGTGGTTAAGGGCGGAGGCTCTGGAACCAGGCTGCTTGTATTCGTATCCTGACTGTCACTTACTCCCTGAGCCAGTATTTGTAAAATTATCTCAGATGATAATTATGAGAAATAAATGAATTTAAACATGTAAAGAGGTTATCACAGGGCCTGCACCAAGAGAACCTCTTGTTAAACGTTACCAGAATGGCTACTTGACTACTGGTATTCACCAGACCTTGCTCCTTCCGATTATCACTTATACCGATTGATGGCACACGCACTTTCTGAGCCGCACTTCAAAACATATGAAGAAGTGGAAAATTGGGTCTGACTGGTTTGCCTCAAAACAAGAAAAGTTCTATTGGAACTGTATCCACAAATTACCTGAAAGATGGGGGAAATGTGTAGCTAGCAATGGACATTACTTTGAATAAAGCACTTTTGATGTTTCTCTTGAAATTACCGTGTTTTCTTTGATTACAAAATCCGCATTATTAACTGGTACACCTGATAAGTGATTACTAAGATTCCCCGCTCATTTTAAAAGTCTATGATTCCCACTGGCTGATGCTCTCTCCAAGCTTCTGCCATAGCCACTAAGGACACCGGCTTCTCCCTGGCTCCCCAGGTTCACTGCTGGCTGTGGCCATGGCTATGGTGGCTCCAGGAAGCCCTTCCATAGTCACAGGTCACATGTCCACCCAGGTCCTTCACCCAGTTACCTCTTTTTAAAATTGTACTCCAGCCATCTTGCATTTTTCAACAGGAGATCCATTTGATTCCATCAAGTCACATTTCACAAATATGGTCAACTTCAGGGAGGTGGACCAAGCTGTCACGTGGCAGAGACGCTCTTCTTCACAGGCTTAAAGAAAATAAAGCTTGGTGAGAGAAGGAACGCCGATGAGGATGGAGACACCACAGCACAGCGTGTGCTTCTTCAGGCTAGCTGTAGAGTGGTTTCCTCTTTCCCGGGTCAACCATCCTGTGCAGTGGTTCTCTGTCCTCTTCCTAATGCAATATACTCCCACCGTGCAAAGGGGACAGGTGTGGGGAAGAAAAAAGCATACGTTCCTTAGAGGCACGTATTGGAGACAGGCTGGGTTAGTTTGAATATGTCCTTCCCTCCCATTCTGATAGGCTCTATAGGAGTATGTGTCTTCTTCCCTACAAAGTGGGTGACATAAGACTAACACGGGAAAGAAGCACAATGGAAGTTAAGCGAATGCTGATGTTTATTGCTATTTGGTGGTTGGAGCAGTTGAGTAGCAAGAAATGGGACTTAAGACAACTGAGTCCTCAATGAGGCTGGCATTTCCCAGGTAGAGGGGAGAGGATTGGGCGTATAGGCATGTGGAAGAAGCAGAAAATGAAGGGTACGTGAGGAGACAGGGAGGAAGTATACTGTACCCGGGAGTAGTGAAGCTATGTGGTGGAGGCAGAACAGTTTAGACGTAATGTGCTAGCATTAGAGACTCAAAGAAGGCTTTGGAACAAAGGAGTTACAAGAGGTAGTGCTGAACAAAGAATTGATCTGGCAGCAGTGTTTATTTTAAACCCAAGGGGGCAGGGCTAAGGGAGTGGAGTGGAGAGAATGCTATATGGGTCAGGCTGGGGCCTAGATACCAGGGCACCTGTGTGGCACTGGCTGAGGGGACTCCCGTAAGCGACCTCACTTGGCTGAGCATCTGTTTCCTCACCTGTAAAATGATATGTCAGAGGTTTCTGGGAAGATTAGCATTTGCCAACTATTTTACTGGGTGCTAGAATGTGTCAAGACACTTTGCTAGGTATCAGGGGTATAAACAATGGACAAGAAAAGACACAGGCTCTGTCTTCCATGAAATTACCATTTGTACACAAGACAGACAATAAAAAAGTCCACAGAGAGATTAAAAACTGCGGAGTGTGTCTAAGGTGATGCTGTGAAGGAATGTAGGCAGGATGAGCACCTAGTTTTTTGAGTTCCAGGGAGCCTCCTGGAGGAAGTGGACTTTATTAAAACCAGAGAATGGAGAAGGAGACATCAGGCAAAGAGCAAAGGGAAGGACATTTCACAGAGAGGAATATAACATGCAGAGGCAGGAGGAGCTCGATGTGTTCCAGGGAACACAGAGAGCTCCGGAGCACAAAGGCAAGGTGGGAGAGACTGGCCTAAACACGATGGGGAGGAGGGCAGTGCTGGATCCGGCAGGAGTCTGGATTCTACTCTAAATGAAATGTAAGTGGTAGGGTCAAGCCCAGGTGTGCATTTTATTTTACTTCACTTTATTTTATTTTTGTTAATCTTCACCAGAGGATATTTTCTCATTGAGTGGAAGGAAGAGGGAGAACAGAGAGAGAAATATCAATGTGAGATAGACACATCAGTTGGCTGCCTCCCACATTCACCCCAATCAGGGCCAGGGATCGAACCTGCACAGATATGCGCCTCCAACCAGAATGGAACCAGGGGCCCGGGACCCTTCAGTTTGCAGGTCAATGCTCTTATCCACTAAACCAAACCAGCCTGGTCCAGGTGTGCATTTTATTTTATTTTTTGTTTAATTCTTACCCGAGGATATTTTCCCATTGATTTTTAGGGTGAGTGGAAGAGAGAGGGAAAGAGAGAAACATCAATGTGAGAGAAACATATTCAATGATTCCTGCCTGCACATGCCCCAACCAGGGCCTGGGCCGAGTAGCAGCCTACACCCAAGGTATGCGCCCCTGACTGGAATCGAACCCCGGTCCCTGGGCCACAGGCCAATGCTCTATCTATTGAGCCAAACCATCTAGGGCCAGATGTACATTTTAAAATTCTTACTCTATCTAGTGCTGAACAGAATTTGAGAGGGCAAGAGGAGGGATAAGGTGTTGGTTAGGAGGCTGTATCCTGCAATAGCCTAGGTCCATGGACGGCAAACTGTGGCTTATGAGCCACATGCGGCTCTTTGGTCCCTTGAGTGTGGCTCTTCCACAAAATACCACAGCCTGGGTGAGTCTATTTTGAAGAAGTGGCGTTAGAAGTTTAAATTTAAAAAATTTGGCTCTCAAAAGAAATTTCAATCACTGTTGACTAATGAGTTTGCCGACCACTGTCCTAGGTGATAGATGGTGATAGATGAGGGTGGGGCAGTGGAGTTGAAAGGAAGGGGATCAATTCAAGAAATATTTTGTTGAAGGTGCTGAACAATGAATTGGCCTGGCAGAAGTATTCACTTTAAGTTGAATCAAAGATCTTGTAATGAAAATATGTAAACTGCCAGAATGCTTCACACTTAAAGCTTTTATTTTGAAAAATAAAATACAAAAGTCATTACATTGTAAATGTATACAGTAATCCCTCATCTTCTCAGAAACAATACAATTTAAATAATTAAGATATTTAGTATTATCCACATCAATACGTTTAAACAGATACAATTATTCTACAAAACCAAGAGACACTGAACAATTTTTTATGTACAGAATGCCAATTTTAAACCTCTCCTTTAAAACAAAGTTTGGAACCTGGTTAGAAAGGATAAGGACCAGAGCAGTTTTAACAGAAAGCGCACGTCCCTTCTGGGCTCCTAATCCGCTGGGGTGTGCATGCGATAGAATCAAGAGCGCGGCGCTCAGGACACACATCACTCAGGAAGGCCCAGGTGTGTTCTTCGTCCCACCCTCTCAGTGGAGGAGTCTGACAAACGGCAGGAGATGCGGGCCATGGAACGTACACTCCCCGGATCTCGGCAGGTGACGGCCAGTCCTAGATGAAAAGGCAGAAGTCTTCCCTAGGGCAAACAAAAGGGATTCGGTTACGGCGTGGAGTCCCAGTTCCTTCTCCCCTTGCACCTCGTGGCCTCCTTCCCAGCTGTGGGCCTGCCATGAGCCAGGTAGATGGGCAGGAGGATCAACAATTCCGAGAACAGCTAACCTCAGGACCATGGGAGAGGCACGCTCTCCCTCCGTCTGGATTGAATGGAGATGTGCAAAACTGCTCCAATGTGCAAAACAGGCAGATGGCAGGCAAAACAAGGGCTGCTCCTGCCCATTTCTAAGTGACTGCAACAGGCATAGCAACTGAAGCTACTGCGGGAACACTGGTAGGCCGTCAAATGTCCAGAGGTCCAACATGCTGACTCTTCTTTTGAGAAAGTGGATGCTAAGGAAGGTTTAGATAACACAGCAACTGTCATCAAATGACAAAGGATCCAAAAGACAAGAAGACAGACTGGTATCGGTCCTGAGCTGCTCTGCTGTCTTCCTAGCTTCTCCGGAGTCCTTCCCTCAATGCAGGTGGGCACCTACAGGCCTCGGTTGGCAAACAAGAATGAAATGCTAGAGTCCACTTGACATGGCATTATGTCTTTTAAAACAAACACTATACTTTCAGGGATCATGTCTGTACTTTGTTACTAGAGAAGTTTGTCTGGATGTGCCTTGTAAAACAGCAGTCAATAAATAAAGCCATATATGGTGTGTGTGTGTGTGTGTGTGTGTGTGTGTTGGGGAGGGGATTTATAAATTTTGAAAGTATTTTGGATAAACAAAATTATCCAAGGCCTGATAACAACTGTTGGATATGCATACCCATAGATATAAGTCTAACATTTAGTATTTGCTACTTAGCAAAAGGACAAACGTAAATCCTAAAACCTATTCATGTTATTAGCTCATTGTCATCGTGATTTTGACATGGCATAGCAGTATTCATGTGCTTATACTAACTATAATCCACAAACACACTGCAAGTCATACAAATCTCCTATTCAAATTATTCAATCTCAATTTTCTCATCAGTACAACAGGAATAGTACTACCTACTTGCCAGAGTGCCTGGACGCTTGAATGAACTCATTCAAATACATACATATATTTATCATAGATATTGTTTCACATATTATATATTATACTAATATATTTTATTGATTTTGTACAGAAAGAAAGGGAGAGAGATAGAGAGTTAGAAACATCGATGAGAGAGAGTCATCGATCAGCTGCCTCTTGCACACCCCCTACTGGGGATCTGCCCGCAACCAAGGCACATGCCCTTGTCCGGAATCGAACCCGGGACCCTTCGGTCCCCAAGCCGATGCTCTATCCATTGAGCCAAACCGGTCTCGGCCATATTATATATTATACTAGAGGCCCGGTGCATGGATTTGCTCAGGGCATGTCCAACCTGTCTGGCCCAGTCCCGATAGGCTGGACCCCAGCAGCAAGCTAACCTACCTGTCGGAGTGTCTTCCCCCTGGTGGTCAGTGCGCATCATAGCAACTGGTCAAATGGTGGAATGAATGGTTGGACACTTATCATATTAGGCTTTTATTATATAGGATACCATATGATATATACCATTTATATACTACATATAAAATGCTTAGCATTTTATGCTTGGTATGTACTCAATACATGGCTATTATATAAAATAAAAATAAAATAGAAAGCAAAAATCAAATTTTCAAAAAGCTTTTCAAGTTCCAAATGATAGAAGGCATCACCACATCATTCGGAGAGAGGTATAAGCTCTGAGTGGCTCCATCAGGGGGTGTGGGTCCAGAATCCAGCTTTGCCACTAAGTGGCTGGTGTCCCCAGACACACACCTGGTGATTACTCATAAACAAAGGGGGCTTATAGGGCACGGCTAGCCTAGCCCAAACTCAAATCCTTAGCTACTGTGAGACAATGCAAGTGACAAAGGTAAGACTCATAATACATTAAAATCAGTAAAGGCAGACTTGAAGAACAAATCAAATAACTCTCCCAAATGTTAGTACAGAATTATGTGCATGTCAGCACACAGAGAAAGCAGGGTGCAGGGACTGGTGTTCTTCAGCCCTGGGTTCTCCGACCTGAGATGTGACCTTGACAAATCACCTACACTCTCTAGGATCAGTTGCCTTACCAGCAAACAGATGGCTGAGGGTGATGTTTTCCAGTTTCTTTCAGCTAAAATATCTTATTCTTTTTTAAAAAAAAATATTGATTTTTTAAAAAAATATATATTGTTTTTTACAGAGAGGAATAGAGAGGGATAGAGTTAGAAACATCAATGAGAGAGAATCATCGATCAGCTGCCTCTTGCACACCCCCAACTCGGGATGTGCCCGCAACCAAGGTACATGCCCTTGACCAGAATTGAACCTGGGACCTTTCAGTCTCCAGGCTGACACTCTATCCACTGAGCCAAACCAGTTTTGGCGAAAATAACTTATTCTTTATCATATTGAAAATAACTACCACCATTATTTTGCTTACTCTGTACCAGGCTTTTTGCAGACATTATTATGGTTAATTCTTGCTACCACTCTCTTGTTAATATTGTCCTTTTACAGACGAGGAACTAAGAAACAGAGAAGCTGAGTAATTTTCTCAGTGTCACAAAGAGCCAAGATTCCAACCCAGGCCAACTGACTCCAGAGTTGTGCTCTCCACCCTGGCCACCCTGCCCGCCTACAAGAGCCTAAGCAGGGAAATCCACAGACCAGCATGTCCCCCAAACCTCACCTTAGGATGTAAGAGGTTCATGGCTCTGCTACTCCACTTGCTCAGCCTGTCAAAAAAAAAAAAAGCAAAAGCTGTTTTAAAGTCCTCAAAGTTGGTCAGCATGAGAAATGACAGCTCTGGTAAAAATATCCGGGGTAGCTTGCAGGCTCTAATTAGACTTTCTACTGAACTCAGCCTGCTACTGCCGTATAATAAATACATAATTACATTGGCCTTTGTCCCTGGTTCCTGATGGGGAGACTTAACTCCTTGGAATTCCTGCGAAACGAGTCCCTTAGGTCACACCTGAGTTTACTCTAAGATAGGGGTGTCGAACTCAATCAGAGAAGGGGCCAAAATCTAAAATCCAGCCTAAATCACGGGCCGAATGGTTTACTGAACAGTCATAAACTGTCATTGTGATGGAAACGCAGCGGAGTGCAGTGATGACAGCGCGGTTCGGGCCACATTGCAAGGCCTGGCGGGACGGATTTGGCCCGAGGGCCTTGTGTTTGACACATGTGCGAGTCTAAGAGGTGAGATGACTCGGGATGGGGCTGCTCACCAGAAACAGCAGCCCTGTATGTAGAGGGCTGGGGCTTTCAGCCAGCCCAACCTCTGGATAGGGTTCATTGACTGGGGATTGAGCTCAATCACATGGCCAATGATCCAATCAATCGGGCCTCTATAATTAGATCCCAAGATGCCAGAGTTCAGTGGAGCTTCCTGGATGGCGAACACACAGTTTCTGTACCCATTCCCCTTGGAATCGGTTCCGATTCCAAGGGGAATGGGTGCAGAAACTGTCCGAGACCCACCCAGACTCTGTCCTGTGTCTCTTCAGGTGGCTGGTCCTGGCTGTATCCTTTATAAATACAAAACTGTAACCACAAGTCAAAGCCTCCCTGAGTTCTGCGAGCCATTCTAGCTAAGTTCAAGGGTGAGGGCTCAGTGGGCTTCAGTGTTCATTTATTAGAAGTTAACCAGAGTCTTTTATAGGCCCTTTCTAAGTACGTGTGGGATGCAGTAAATGAAACTACCAGAAAAAGGGGACTGAAGCGCTGGATACTCCTTTTGCCCAATTTAAAAAATATCTTTCTTATTGATTTGTAGAAATTTTCTATAGTCCACAGATAAGACATTTGTTTAAAATATTTTCTCCCACTTACTTTTTTACTCCAGCTATCATGCTCTCTGATAAGTAAACATTCTCAATTTTAATGTAGTCCAACTTATCCATTTTAAAATCAATGATTAGTATTTTCAATGATTTAAGAAATCCTTCCCCTCTTTTTTTTTCTTTATTAATTAAGGTATTTCACATGTGTCCTTATTCCCCCATTCATGCCCTCCACCCCCCTGTTGTCTGTGTCCATTGGTTAGGCTTATATGTATGCATACAAATCCTTTAGTTGATCTCTCCCTTTTACCCCCCGCCCTCCAATACCTTCCCTCTGAGGTTTGATGGTCTGATAGATGCTTCTCTGTCTCTGGATCTATTTTTGTTCATCACTTTATGTTGTTCATTATATTCCACAAATGAGTGAGATCATGTGATATTTATCTTTCTCTGCCTATTTCGCTTAGCATAATGCTCTCCAGTTCCATCTAGGATGTTGCAAATGGTAGGAATTTCTTCTTTTTTACAGCAGCATAATATTCCATTGTATAGAATACACAGTTTTTAAAAATCCTCAGTTTTTCCACAGTATTTAAAAATCCTTCCTTCTTGAGGTCATAAAGATATTTTCTTCTTTTGTCTCCTAAAAACTTTATTATTTTGCCTTTCACATTTAGGTCTATAACCCACCTAGAAATGATTTTTGTGTATGCTGTGAAGCAAGGGTGTTCTTTTAGTCTTAGTCTTAAATACCCTTTCTTGACCCCTTCAGACTTATTATGCAAAACAGCCTTAGAATTTGACATTCCTTTAAGATTCTGAATCTTGGCTTATTCTCTGGCTCCAAATGCCATAGCCTGTGAGTGAGTGAGTGACAGCTTCTTCATGAATTCACCCAGGTTTCTGGGAATTCATGCATGCCTAGGCTCAAAGCCTGCAACCTCTTATATGCAAAAGTCTATCACAGTTTATATGTATATATATCAGGAGTTCCTTGAGAAGATTTAAAATTTTTAAATGTTTCAAATTATAGTTGATATACAATATTATATTAGTGTCAGGTGTATAATATAGTGATTAGGCATTTATACAATTTACAAAGTGATCACCCCAATAAGTCTAAGTACCCATCTGACACCCTATATAGTTAATTAAAATACTGACTGAATTCCTTATGCATTAAATTATTAAAACCAACAATTACCAGAAGCCAATCTTTCTACTAGAAGCACATATTATCTTTAAAAAAATCGCTTCAATACCAGAGCCTATCTATTACACATCAAAAGGAGAAAACAGATACCATACCTGAGGTTTTTCTTTAAGAAATTCAGGTAACTGAAATTCTCCTTTATAGACCTGGAAAAAGAAAGCAAACAGGTACTGTCATCGTCACTTCTGAGCTTGCAGTACCTGATATTGGGTGGGATTACTGTTTCATTCTTGTGAATTTTAAAACTGGAGGGAAGCCGGCCAGTTCAAGAGCAGCCAGGGATGAAGAACTGAGTGAAACCCATTCACTCTGATCTCCCTTGCTCCACATTTGCCCCAGTGCTTCCAAAAGTGAGCTGGCTGGGAGAGGGCTCAGAGTATCGGAAGAAGGAAAAACAACATCCCAACATCTCAAATTCTAATCATTTTAGCTGAGAGAGAAACAAGCCCTAGTCACTAGGGCCTAGTGCATCTCTCTCAAGCAACCAACACAGAATTCCCACAATCTAGGAATAGGCTCCACCTGATTTCCTTTTGAAATCTCCAACTTTAAAACCCTGGATTTGATCCAATCTTTCTTAATGTACCTCAGGTTCCCATAATAATTTAAATATTAGATGATTCTTAAAATGATAAATACTTTTAACCTCATAAAATCTTATGACAACTATTAATTTTTTTAAATCCCAAACTAGTCACACTACATTAAGATGTGATTGACTGACTGATTGATTTTAATCCTCACCCAAGGATAATGCTTATTGCTTTTTGGAGAGAGAGGAAGGGGGAGAGAGAGACATCAGTGTGAGAAAGAAGCATCAATCAGTTGTCTCCCATACATGCTCTGACCAGGGATTGAACCCACAACCCAGGTATATGCTCTAACTGGGCATTAAACCTGTGACCCTTTTGTTCCATGGGACAATGCTCCAACCAGCTAAACCACTTGACGAGGGCAATCTTATAACTAAAAATTTTCTTTTTTCTAAATGTAAAATTATGTTTCTAATGCCAGTGATTAGGAAATACTTTATTAAAAATAATACCACTTTATTAAAAATAATACCACTTATACTAATATTAAAAAACCCCACACCAAATACCTGAGAATAAATCTAATAAAATACATATAAGACAAGACCAAATAAAATAGAGAGACATACTATTTTCAGGGGCTGGGGAAGGGGTAATTTGAAGCTGATTGTAGAAGTTATATGAAAATGCATAAGACCAAAACTACTCAAACTAATCTTAAAAAGAACAAAATAGGAGGGGCTTATTCTACCAGATATTAAGACATTATTATATAGCTATAATTAAGCTATATTATCAATAATAATAAAAGCATAATATGCTAATTAGACTGGACAGCCAAACAACCTTCAGGACAAAGCTGGGGCTTGGAGGGCAGAGTCCCTTGCACTAATTTCATGCACCGGGCCTCCAGTAAGACAGTAAAGTTTTGGTACTGACAAAAAGAACACTTTAGACTGACAAAGTAATCTATTTAGTGCAAGAAACCAAGTCCTGCACTGCTTACAAAAACAGCAAAGCTAGGAATGGAATTTCCTTTGGCAACAAGGAACAGAGTTCTGGACATACTACTCCCTGGCACTAAGGACGGAGGGTTTTGTCTGACAGGGATGAGTTAGGTGTTCAGAGTCCACACCTCCCTATAGAACCACCCCCACCTCAAACAGGAAGACAAAAGTAGGCGTTTGATTTGGAGGGTGCACTGGAATAAAAATGAAAAGAACAGCAGCTAAACTGTACTACTTTCTCTGCACCAGGTTAGTGTTAAGTAAGGGTTTCATATATATTATCTCGTGGAACCCACAATCTCTGGAGGGAGGCATTATCTTTTTAGAGAGAAAGGCACAGAGGAATTAAGTAATTTGTCCAATGCAGGGAAATGGGAAGCTACGAAGCACCATCCTCAGACTCCCGTTGCTCTGCTTAGATTGAAGTATGGAGGCTACAGCAGTAATCCAGACGAGAAAGGATGGCAAGGACGGTGGCAGTGGAGGTGGTGAGGAGTGGTAGGTTTGTGGATTTGTTTTTCTAATTACATGCAGACTTCCTAACAGATTGGATATGGGATGTGACAGAGCAGAGGAGAGTCAAGGATGACTCCAAGGTTTTTGGCCTAAGCAACTAGCAACTGGAAATATACAGCTGCCATCAACTCAGTTAGGAGAGGTTCTGTGTTTCATAGGTTTTTGGAAGGTCATTAGTTCAATTTTGGATATGCTAAGTTTGAGAAGTCTACTAGCCAATGAATGAAAATATCAAGTAGTTGGATATACAATTCTGGAGTTCATGGAAGAGGTCTGGCTGGGATATATAAATGTGAGAATTATTAACTTAGAGATGCTAGGTGAAGCCTCAATACCTGCTGAGATAACTCACGGGGGCTCAAGGAAGATAGAGAAGAGCAGAGCAGAGGACTTAAAACTGAGATATGGGGACAATCTAACATTTAAAAGTCAGGGAGATGAAGAACCAGCAAAGATGACTAATAAGCTATCAATGACATAAGAAAAAAATATATTTTAAGTCGTGTCCTAGAAGCCAAGTGAAGAAAACATATCAAGGAGAGAGTAATTGCCCAGCCCCGTGGTCAGTAAACTGTGGCTCTCGAGTCACATGTGGCTCTTTGACCCCTTGAGTGTGGCTCTTCCACAAAATACTATAGCCTGGGCGAGTACATTTTGAAGAAGTGGCATTAGAAAAAGTTTAAGTTTAAAAAATTTGGCTCTCAAAAGAAATTACAATCATTGTACTGTTGATATTTGGCTCTGTTGACTAATGAGTTTGCTGACCTCTGGCCTAGCTGGTTTGGCTCAGTGGATAGAGTGCTGGCCTGTGGGCTGAAGGGTCCCAAATTCGATTCTGTCAAGGGCACATGCCTGGGGTCGAGGGCTTAGTAGGGGCTCTGTAGGAGGCAGCTGTTAAATGATTTTCTCTCATTATTAATGTTTCTATCTCCCTCTCCCTTTCTTTCTGAAATCAATTAAAACATTAAAAACAAAACAAAACACTAACTCATAAGAAGAAAGGAGCGAGTAATCAATTGTATCACAAGATATTGGGAGGTAAAAAAAAAAAAAAAAAGACCATTGGATTTAATAGCATGAAGGTCAGTGTGACGTTGACAATGTAAATTAAGTAGACTGGTAGTTATGAAATTCTGAATGTAAGGCAGAATAAAGGAGAAGGAATTGGAGACAGAGTAAAGAAAACGTGAGGGGTTTGTTTTTTTAAAGGAGAACACTAAGAATTTCCCCCTCAAGTCTTATTCTTTTTTTTATTTTTATTGATTTCAGAGAGGAAAGGAGAGGGAGAGAGGGATAGAAACATCAGTGACGAGAGAGAATCACTGATTGACTGCCTCCTTCACGCTCCCTACTGGGGATTGAGCCCACAGCCTAGGCATGTGCCCTGATCGGGAATTGAACCATGATCCCCTGGTTCAAAAGTCGATGCTCAACCACTGAGCCAAGCTGGCCAGGCTGAGTTTTGATGTAAAGGGCAGCAAAGAAACAGAAGTCTGTGTGAGTATGTGTGCATATTAAGCTAAAAAATCACTAAGGGCAGCTGATTGACGTTTCTTTCTCATCTGTTTCTGACTCTCTAACCCTCTCTCTTCCTCTCTGTAAAAAAATCAATAAAACATATATATTTAAAAACCACAAAGGGCATATTTGTTTATTCATGGGAAAGATCCTATTGGAGAGCAAAATCTGATGATGCAGGAGACATGGTGAGATGGGCTTGGTCATACATGGGGGAAACATCTTCATACAGGAGCACGGATGTTCACTTCTGTTACACAGACTTCCTATTATAATGGACTGGAGGCCCGGAGCACAATTTTGTGGGGTCTGGCCCACCCCAATGAAGGCTGATTGGGCTGGGCCCCCTGGTTGAACTCCTGTAGGGGGGACAATTTGCATATTAGGTTTTTATTATATAGGATGAGGATATCAGGTCTGAATCACTTCCTTTCCTCTAGCTTCTCAAAAATTACACAATAGCCCTGACCAGTGTGGCTCCGTAGGTTGGAACCAAAAGTCTGTGTGTTCAATTCCAAGTCAGGGCTCATACCCAGATTTAGGCTGGATCCCAGGTTGAGGTGTGTATGGGAGGCGACTGATTGACGTTTCTCTCTCACACTAATGTTTCTCTCTCTTCCCCCCCCTCTCTAAAATTAATAAGCATATTTTTGGGTAAGCATTAAAAGAAAGTACACAACACTTTTTTGTTAAAGCCACATTCTGTATATTTTCATTATTATTACAATATAAATATTATATAAAGTAAAAGTATAAATATCACACATTTACTTCTTTTACACAACTTGTGTGTATTTTAGCTGGGGTTAATAATTGCCTCAGACAGTTTTATATTAATAGAATATTTTTAGAGCAGTTTTAGGTTTACGGAAAAATTGAGCAGAAAGTACAGAGTCCCCATATACTTCCTTCTCTCTTCTACAGTTTCCCCTATTATTAACTGTATTACTGTGGTCCATATGCTACAATAATAAATAGAGACTAATGTGCTGCGATTAATAAAAGTCTTTAGTTTGCACTAGGGTTCGCTATTTGTTCTGTACTTTCTGTGTACTCACCATTACATAGAGTACAGAATAGTTCCACTAGCATGAATCTCTCCTGTGCACCACCACCTACTCATCTCCCCTTCTCTCAACCTTTTTACTGTCTCCATAGTTTTACCTTTTTTAGAATGTCATACAGTTGGAATCATACAGTAAGCAGCCTTTTCAGATTGGCTTTTTTCACTTAGCAATTTTTTATTAGTGCTATCGTGATATATCTTTATTTATCCCTATATTTATATTTATGTTTACATTTATTAATTTGAGAGAGCGAGAGAAAAGGAGGGGAGAGAAAAATCGAAAGGTTGCCTCCTGTTCGCTCCCCAATGGGGAACCAAACCTGCAACCCAGACTTGTGCCTTGCTTTTATGAAGATCCTTGTGAGTACACTGGGCCCACCCAGATAATACTGGATAATTTCATTTTAAATCTCTTAATTACATTTGTAAAGTCCCTTTTGCCATGTAATGTAGCACATTCCAGAGATTAGGACATGGCAATCTTTAGGGGGCATTATTTAGTCTGT